AGAGATCCTTCCCGACCTCAACCATTCTGTGAAGATTTGCTATTTTCTAATTTTGTGACAACAGCACGGTACCACACTTAGACTGAAAACAACACAAAAAGGTTAAGGCTCCATTATGGCATTAACTGTCAAAGTCCTGCATGAGGCTCCCATGTAGTTATGAGACATCCATGCTCATTCACCAGGCCAACCCTCTGCTTTGTCATCTTCTGTTCCTCTTCCTCTCCCCTCCATCGCTCCCCCTCCAGAAAACCATAAAGCCTGGTTTGGTCAAGCTGAATTCTTGCTAACCTCTTCTGTGCTTAGCCAAAATTATACTGGTCTAGCAAAGTGGTTCCTGGCAGCCATCAAAATATGGTTACACCTGTATGCCAGAAATACTGAAAAGAAAGCAACCATTTAAAAAAAATTCTGTGTCAAAAGTGATGCTCTGTTCTTTAGGAATCCAGTCGTTTTGTACATTTGTAACTACTGTTACTTTGCCTGCAGAGCAGGTAACTCAAATCCATTTCATTTTCCAGAATAATGTATTAATTTCATTTGCACAGAAATTGCTATAGACTGTCTGCTCTTAACAAAAACAATAATCTATCTCAATCTGTGTCCTCTTAGTCCGTAAAAGGTAAGTATTGCAAAACACGTAGTCCCACCACTCACTGCAGAAAACCATTCACTAACTAGTCTAAAACCTGCGGTAAGCTCAGGAGAGAATGAGCCACAAGCGTGTGGTTTCACACCTTGCTAGCTCAGCAGATGCAAACAAACCACGCACATTAAAACTCTTCTTGGCTTACGAAAATGCCAAATGGGTAATAACACGCAACTCAAAGCATGTCATATATCAGTATATATATCAGTATATATCATATATATATATCAGTATATCATAAACTGTCCTAAATTTATCCCCACAGTGGTAAAAGACAGGTTAATTCTAACATTTCCATTTTGCAACCACGTAGTTCGAACGTGAAAACAATTAAAGCACAATTTTATTTTAACATTAGCTAATCTGATTTAAAGATATCTGAAATCATTTTTTGAGTGATGGCATCTTAGGTGTTACTTAAATTATCTTATTTACAATTATCAATTATGTTTGCTGCTGAAACTCCAAAGCAAATTAAACAAGTCAATTGAGGAGAAATCTGTGACAAAGCAACTGGAACCAGTCCATTTACGCAATAAGCCAGATTTTGACAGCAACAGCATCTTCTGCAAGAAGGAAGAATATTTTCCTCATTTCAAATACTCAGTTTAGTTCAGAATGATCACTAGTTCATTCCAGGTTGAGAAACAAATTTGGAATAGAAAAAGCAAGTAAACTTGTTTTTTTTCTTCCAGTCTGCAAACAAGAAGTAGGTGTGGGAAGCTGAGATCTACTAGCTCCAATGCCTTGACAAGCACAGCCTCAAGTCACCATCAGTTTCATTTGTTTAGTACCGGTCACATTACACTGCTTAGTTATAAATACAAAATAGGCTGAGATTTTTTTTCCCCCTAAATACTCAGCACATTTAATATTGCTTATTAGTTTAAAAACAGCAAATGAAAATGTTTGTTTTCGATGTTATAATCCAATTTCCACCCAAAAGCAGCTTGAAAAAGATCACAACTGAAAGATTAACTATGCAATAAATCATCAATCATTTAAAAAAAAGCATAAAAATAAAGGCTAAGTAAATCTATGTAAATGTATACAGTTACTTAGACGCATACAGAGTATATCCTTCTCATTATTAAGAACAACCTTTTTTCCTTTTCACCAAGACTGCTTTTATTTGCAAGTGAGTGCCTTAGAGGTTATCAAAAGAGAAGAGTCAATCTTTCTTTAGGAGAAGAAATAAAAGCTACAAATGTTAAACAAGATTTACATGGGCCATTTCAATCAAGGCCTCTGACTCGTCAACTTCAACCAACTCACCCTCTAAACAGGGTATATGTGTGGCATAATAAAGGGCTGAATACTGATCTTTTAACAACAGAACTAGGATAAATATTCAGGTATCACTAAAACCAGTACATATCATTACCCAGATTCTCTGACACATAACATTTCTAAAAAACCTGAACAGAAAAAGACAGGGAGAGTCACACCTACATTTTAACTGTTCTACCCATATCAAAACTTGTAAATTTTCCCCTCCCAGCTTTAGAAATTCCCTCAGTATCAATTTTTTTTTTTTTAATTCACCTATTTGAATACAGAAGACTTAAAGGTTGTGTTTTACTATAAACTGGTGTAGCTTGCAGCACCTTATGACATCTCTAGTATCCTCTGTAACAAGGACACTAAAACTTTGCAGGCAAAGAAAATGAACTTTTCCTTTACAGTTACATCTTGATCAAACACACATTCACACTTACAAGAGGGTTGGGTTCCTACTTTATAAACAATTTGTATTGAAAGAATTTGGGTCAAGGACAGCCTACCACCAATAACAGCCTACATCTCCCTACAATTACTGGCCAATAAGTAGCACAAGTATCTTAAAAGCATCTATTCCATCACGTTAACGAAACTTAATTGGACCGCAAAGGTCTGAAAAAATCACTTTGCCTGCTGAGACAGCCCCACAAAAGCGTATCTCAGAAGTCCCCGAAAGATCAACAAATGGTTTGCTGCCACCAAGCAAACTCACCACGTCTCTTTTCCATGTGCCAGCATTGTGCTAAATAGCAACTCTGATATCTCAGCATTACTGCTGTGAGCCTTCTAAAGCAGGCTGCCGTTCAGAAGTAGACTTTTTATTTTAGTATCTGGTAAAGCACATTTAACAGACCAAAGTAAGGAAGTCAGTTCTGGTTGGTGAGGAAGTTTAGGCATTCACTGCTTTTTTTGGATGTGAAAATAAAACTTTATCAACCAGTACAAAATGTTTATTATACATCAGACCACAAAAATGAGATCAGATTCTCTGTTTTCATGGTCAGCACAGTAAAACTTTGTGCAGTAAGTCTGAAACTAACAAGGGATTGTACAGTCATGAAACAGGCTTAATCAATCTTTATTTCTTTTGTGCCATAATAAAACATTTTTGTGTCTGTTGTTTTCTCTCTTAACAAATATATCTTATAGTTAGCTACACAAAACCAAGCGGAGTTCGGGGGGAGGAGAGATCTTTTTACTTTGAAATGATAACTGCAACTTAGAGGCTTTGCTCTGTTGATTCTGAACTGCGACGAATGGAGTTATTTCCTCACATTCCTGTTGTATAATTCTTCCTTCACCAGCCTTCAGCTATCAGCAGATCAGAGCTGCAGTTTACTCTGGAGCTGGCAGTAAACAAAAGAACAAATCTGCACTGTTTCCTCTGAAAAAAGAAATTGTAGCCCTTGTCCAAATATATTAAAACATTGAAACATGCAGGATGATTAAGGAGTTGTGTATTAGATAAATGAGGTAGTGTGCGCAACAGATTAAAAAAAAAAAAGAGAAGAATTAAGTGGAAAGATTTACATATTTATAGAGCACAAACAAGGCATTGTCAAATAGTTCCAGCCATCAAATGGAGCCTAATTTAAGTTATAACTCTGTGGAAGGAGTAGCCTGTGGATTCAAACTATTGTGTTAATGAACAACTCAGCTGTTACTTCTTGATGACAAATGCACAATAGTCATACTTTTCCTTAACAGACCTGCAATACATTTGCTCTACTGCTGAAGCATGAGAGCACCCAGCTTGCAGGGGGAGCCATCTAGGAACTAATAAAAGCCACATTTTTCATTTAAATATTGACTTTCATCTGAAAGTAATAAACAAATATTCAGCTGAAGGGATCTTTAATGAGTTACATGGCAAAAGATAAATATTTTTTCCTCTTTTTTCTCAGCTCAACATTGGTGGGCACCAGCGTTGTTTCCTTTACATCACTGATGATGTACCTTATCCCCAGATGATGTGTTACATCTATGCAACAGCTCTGCCAATGGATGGAAACAGTTTCGCATGGGAAATAAGGAAAAAAGAACCAGCCCACCACAAACTACAGCCAGGTATTTATTTATTTAAAAGGCAAATGTCCAAATTCAGACAAGAGGAAGGAAAAAAAAACACCTTAAAAAAAACCCCAGCCCTGTTAAAACATCCAATATCTAAACCAACATTTCTCCAGCACATAGTGCTCCCCAGCATTACACTGTGGGTTTGATCCAGTACTTCTGTTCCACCTTTTGAATCTCATTTAGTTTCTAAGCACTCCTGTCAGCTTCTGACTTGGCATCAGCCTTAGCCTGATGGGACCACATGGTAGGTTGAGGACTGAATGACAGGACTGCCAGGCAAAGTGCCAGGAGCAGAAAAGAAAGGGAAATAATAACAACATTTGTAGATAAACAATAAGAGACCATCAGGAAGGAAACCTGTTCTTTCCAAGGTTTAATGTATTAAAACACTGCAGAATGTTCTCACAGCCTAGTGGCAGCTGAAACACCCAGCAGCCCGGAACACAAATTGGTGACATTAACAATTAAAGGGCTTATGTCCTTCGTTAGCCCAAACAAGTAACTTCTATTCTCTCTCCTTCTCATTTATCTGATTCTCACTAGCTCTTACTCATCCTGAATATCCACCAGCAAGTTCAGCACCATACATGCACATGGTAACGCAAACAAGAAGGCAAAGTGCTTTGGGGAAGGGCAGGCAGGTGGCTTTAGCCATGAGGCTTCCCATCACTCCAGCCTCCTGTGGTGTCTGGACATCAGCACTCGGTCCTTCTGTAACAGATGGTAACCAAGTCAGACTAAAAAAGAAGTCCCCAAACCTCAGATATCGCACACACATACACCCCCAGAAAAAAAAAAAAAAGAAAAAAAAAATCAAGACATTTGGGAGTCTTTGACGCACCAAAAGAAAAGACCAGCAACCTGTTTTAGATGAGTAAACACTGTCTTACAACTTGCAAAAGCCTTTATTCAGTGGTCTTCCTAGGACATGCAGGATGGCAGAAGCCAAGGGGGAAAACAAAAAAAAAGGTTTTAACAACAGGAGTAACTTGCCTTTGCCAGATGACCATCCAATGTTGCAGAGCAATCTGTACTTCATATAAGGGCATAAATGACATTTGTTTGTCTGAGTTCATACCAAAGAAAACAGACTACTGATCTCTTGAATGTCCTCAAATGATGCATAGATACATTTTAAGCACTTGTTTGTCCTATTACGCTCTGAAATCCAAAATAGACCTTTTATTACAGTATCTCAAATTTCAGGACAACTAGACAGTAAACAAGTGATCAGGGAATGAGAAACACTTATATTAATAGCAACAACACACTGTTCATAAGTAGAGGTGTCAATTATTACTAAGCAAAATGGACAGATTACCAAAAATACCACCACAAACTTAGCAAAAGTAACAAAATTAGTTGCATTTTTTGTTCAAAGACCAAAGAAAATCCAGCTTATTCTGTACAGTTTATCATTGTTTACTTCTTGCTACCTTTTTATTAGAATGAGTAGTTTCAAGCGTCTCTCCACTCTAAGAATACCTCCTGCCTCCGAGCATCCCATGGTAGAGGCTGCATGACAAGCAGCGTCGAACATGGGGCAGAGCCCGGCCTGGCTCTTCCACCCTATCCAGCTTCTCTGAGAAGCATCTCACTTGCACGGCCAGCCTTCTGTATTTAGTGCCAAATCTGCAAGCTTGCAAAGGGCCTGTAATTCTGCTTCAAGTCACCAATATAGACAAACTGCACCTCTAGAAGAAGACCTGAGCATCTTGGAAAAGAAACCAGACTGACAGATGCTTTTGAAATGGCTGCCTTAAACACTTCCGTGACCAAGGTCTCGTCCTTTACACATGCAGAACTTGTTCCTTCTCTTCAGCATGCTGAAATAATGACCATCTCAAACTAAACAGTATCAGAAAACTCTCAGTTAGAGATTTTAAAATTGGTGATGCTAGACACATGACCTACAATATTTTAACTGCCCAGTCCTTTGAACAAACTAACCTCTAAACTTCATCCTGGTTATAACTTAATAGCATTAGAATTTAAATAATACCTTTCTCCCTCAACTACTTTATTTCACTGTTTACCACCAAATCTTTATATTAGGTACCAGAACAGAGAGAGGAAAGGCTACTTGTTAAGTCATTGGCTCCAGATGTTCAAGGGTCTACCAAAGCATTACCCAGAAATCAGACTAATTACATTATACAGATACAGTGCTTGGAAGAACCCTGACCCCACTTTATTCTCCAGAACTTAAACTCTCCATATATTTTTATATACACTCAAAAGACAAGGTCAGGCTCACCTTCCTTTTACCTACTGCGTGCACTGGTGGCTCAGTGCAAGCATTATCCAAGACTGTCCTTCCTCCCCCTCCATTCAGATTTAATTCCTATGCAGTAAAAGGAAACGCAGTTAAAAATATTTTGCAATTAGGAAAAAAAATCAAGACAGGAATGTAGCAGCACATTAGTACATCTATCAAGTCCTCAAGCAGGTTACTTGTGGCACATCACCCAATAGCATGAGATGGTTTAACTCTGACCAAGGAAGTGGAGACACTTAATTTTGGTGGGAGGGAAGCTGTTCTTTTTGCAGCACACAGGGAGCTGAAGGTGGGAGTTTACAGATGAGCACAGTTCTCTGCCCCAGAGAACTAACATTTACAGAGGCACGTACAACAGAAAAAGGACGCAATGTTAAAACCAGGCACAGTTGTTATATTTACATACATAAACACATGGCACGCCTTCTGAATAGATGAAGATCCTTGGCACCAAGGAACTCTCAAGCCAAACATGGACACACCACCATCAGTAAAACACTAGGATGATGATGACAGCAACAGCAAAAAGATTAGACATGTGCAAATCTTCAGCATGCAACTAAAAATTACACGGGTCTGATCCTCCACTAGGGCGCCTGGCAGAGCTCAGTTGAAATCAATAGGTCTGCACTTATTTACACAAGCAGAGCATCAAGAGTACATTGCTCAGCGTAACTGCTTAGGAGTTTCACTACTATTTATTTCTGGACTACCTGTCTTAATGCAACTTTGCATAAAATACCTCATGCCTAACTTAAAGTTATGATTAATAGTGTTTTTCTTTCAGCTCAGTTCAGCCCACTGTTTTATTCACTACCGGTCTCACCTCTTCACCTCGTTAACTGCTTTCTTGCTTCTGGCCATCGAAATAGTTCCAAAATTGCTGTTCTTTGTTCAAAAAATACTGCTATTGTAACAGAAACTAAATTAAAAGACTCGTGTCATGAACAAGGGCAGACTGAAAGTGGCAAAAGGCCAAATAAAAAGAGGGAGATTTGTTACTTTTCCTTCCCAAGAGGATTAAGAAAAACATACAAGACTTAAAAATTGTTCCAGCCCTTTTCCCTGGTGTATGAGAACATGAAAGAGACTCCAATACACTTCTCAGAAGAGCCTATGTAAAAATTGTAGAGTTTCTTGCATGACTAACATAAGGATACTGATGATGTCATTGCCACCTCTCTGGATCACCTCTGTCCCACAAATCATTATTTCTTATTGGCAGCCTTGCAGCACAGGTAAAAACTCTGTTTAAGGTCTCACTGGGAAAAATGTAGGTGGTGTAAGTAACTGGCATCTTTGCTCTCTCATCAGAAAAGATTAGCAGGGATGTAGGCCACCTTCCCCTTTCATCCCCCAAGTGGTCCTTTTCAGATGGGGTGGTTGGGAGGGGAGATTTGTCTTGCACCCATACAAAAAGTTGTTGTTTCCTGGGCACGTTCACTTCTTAAAGGAGGAGGAAAAAGAAACAGTGGGATCATAAATTTATGGAGTTACATCTCCCAGAGACCCTCACCTTCCTCATACACATGGTGTTCATCAAAGCAGAAGGTCCGTGGGGCAGGGACCTTGTTTGCCCCAGGGCATATAAAAAGCACACGAGAAAGCAATGTTTCAGTACTGTCACTTGTCTTAGGAATGACACAAACAAGTTTCCCCTTCTCTCCCCTGCATCTCTACTGTCTGCAAAAACAACAAAACAAACAAAAGGGAAATAAATAGAAGTTTCCCATGCCAACAAACCTTTCCACAAACAGTTTTTGTTCCTGACTAGTGAGATTCTGTGAAAGTTAGGGAAAGATTATCAATACTCACTGTGCATGGAAAGGGCCAGACACCACAGTGACCAGGGACAATACCAAACTGTCAAGTGCTGCACCCAAATGCAAGACAAGGTATCACACCCCAAAGGGCTCATCTTACTGTCCTAACCCTTTCACAGCTCTCTAACATTGAAGATGTGAAATGTAGTGTGAAACAAAAAGACAACAGGACCATCCCTGAACTTAAAAAAATAAAAAACAAATTCACTAAAACCCAGTCTATGCATTAGGAGTGACAGATTTAAAGATTTCACTGTTGACGTTAACAGTGACATTTTAAGCACGGGAGGGGGAGCAACAACCCCTCCAAAAAATCAGTAACCACTTTCAATTATAATGAAATAACACATTAAAAATAGAAATTTAAGATTGAAGAGCCTTTAATGCCCTGTTGAGTATTCAGGGACAGCAGTAAACAAGGTGCTGATACGCTTTACACTGCAAACAACGTCAGTGGTGAGCCAAATGGGATGAGCCCCAAATCAGAGTGAAATTTCAATGCATTAAGTTTAACTGTAAGATAAGGGACTGTAATCAAATTACACCACAAATAGGTCCATTCATCCGTAAGCATTATCGCAGAGAGAAGATTGAATTACAGCTTGGAATAGAACAATTTAAGAAATAAAAAGCAAATTTATTATCTATTTATTATTTTCCTACTGCCAAAGAAAATTTCCCACCTTCATACAAGAATGCTACCCGAGATGAATCTGGGGAGAAAACTGAAATACTAATTATCAGGCTGGAAAAACAAGAAGAGTTTCAGTTTTGTTATTTACATTCCCATTCCTCTTTCTGAATAGAGCAACAAAGTCAACAAGCTAAGCGAAGACACAAGAATACGCATTTGCAATTCAAGTTGTTTTGCTGAGAAAGGCCTAGGCAGCTTATATACATTCAACAAACCGGCCAGAGGATTTTTTTTTTCCCCCTCCCCCTATTTCCCCCCCCCCCCAAAAAAAAAAAAAGTGCCTTTCACTACGTTTTTCTTTCCCCCCCCCCTAAAGCTATCACAATCCATATTACTCAATACCACAATTTTTAAAGAGAACCAAGTGCAAGGCACGCATTGCCCCTCGTCGTCCTCCTCCAATTTGGCAGCACTGGAAAAGCACCTTTTAAAACAAACACGCGTGTGGACGATTCGCTCTTTCAGTAAGTGCTGCAAGGAACAACAACCAGGGGGAGGAAAAAAAAAAAAAAAGAAGAGCGAGAGGAAAAAAAAACCCGCTCCTCCTCCTC